AAAAAAACCAATAATGAGTAATGACAATAATGATGATGATGATGATGACGGTGATGATGATACCAATGAATTGCATTCTTATGTACCATACAAAAGTCACTGACATTTTTTTTTCATAGTAAGTTAAAAAAAAAATATACTGCGCCCCTTCACAGAAATATGAAACGTATCATTTCAAAGATGGGCCCCATTGTGTGGAGTCCAGGGCATAACTAGCTTAAGTTGAGATGATGCGGAACGGATGAATGCTGTTGGAATCCCGGGTATTCTTGAACTTCGGTTGTTAGGGGAGTTTTCAAGGCTCTCCATGCTCCCAATTGGCTCATGCTTATCGGAGATGGACATTGATTTTGGACGATCTGCCTCTTAATGACCTTACATAGTTAGTAAGAGCGTTGACAGCATTCCATAGCATAACTGTAATAATTGTTCGTGTAGTTATCAAAAAGGGACTGTTCTCCTGTTAACAAATCGAAATGGAAGAGAGCTGAACGGAAGTTAGAGTAAATCTGAATAGCCTAAGAAAAAGATGCCACTCCTAAACCTGTGAGTCGTCATGTTACTGAAAAAGAGAGGCGCCTTTCTTTTGGAGATGCACCCCCTTACTTTTATTTTGAGCGAAGAAGCTGCAAGGACAGACGTAGACGCCCCCATACTGGTGGAGACGGACCCAGCACAAGACACACAGGTAAGACGCAAGGATGAAATGCCTGGTCTGGCAGAGGCGCCGCCGTAACATATTTAGAAGGTGGGTCATCATATCATCGTAGTGCGACGAAGGTCCCTCCGACCACCTACCCCCAACAAAACCACATAAAGAAAACAATAGAAAAAAGTAGCAGTAGTACAAAATAGACGAAACAAAACACTAACCCCCTGCTAACCCATCAGCTGAAAAAAACACAAAAAAAACTACAAACCAAACCAGACCCTTTTCAAAAAGACAGGTCAAGAACAACAAAGAGGAAAAAGCGAATAAACAAAAGAAAACAAACCCCTAGCTGGCAGAAACAGAAATATGATCGTAACATGAGACTGAAATGCCCCGCTCTATTCTCAGAATACAGACACAACTCACGAAAAATCACGATAGCTTACAAATTCAAAAGAAATACGCATTTACGTGAACACACTCATATGGAAATCGAAATTTAGTTTAAGAAAAAAAAGGGAAACCTAACAACAGTAAAAAAAAAAACCCCCATTAAAAATGTTTAAGGTTAAAAAGAAAAGGCATAACCCCTTTTAAATACCAGTGATTGGAGACCCAAAAAAAGAAATACCCTCTTTCCAATACCTAATTTTTAGTGCACATTCCTTTCCCTTCAAATACTGTACTCACACACCAATGCAGTTCAGTTCTTTTTTCATCTTATATTCTCTCTCTCTCTCTCTCTCTCTCTCTCTCTCTCT